ATCACAATATAATGTGGATGGAGAGGTCACTGAAAAATCCAACTCGCCAAGAATCGATCATAGCCAGATAATCTTACACATGCCAAGTGCCAGTGCCCGATACTCTGCCTTTGTTGACGAGCGGAAGACAACTGCCTGCTTCTTGCTCTTCCAAGAGATAAGATGAGTCCCTCGAAAAGTACAGAAACCCGTAGTAGATCGACTATCACATGCTTCCCCATAATCTGAATCTGAATAACAGGCTAGAGAACCAGTCTGAGATCCTAATGCATAAAACAACCCAAGTCCAGGACAAGACTTGAGGTATCGAAGAATATGATAAACTGCATCAAGATGAGACTAACATGGCATGTGCATGAACTAACTAACTCGGCTGACTGCGAATGAAATGTCCGGCCTAGTATTGGCTAAGTAGATAAGTCTACCTACCAATCTTTGATCAACTGTCGGATCTTTCAACTCCTCACCTTTAGCAGTAAGCTTCAGGTTTGGAATCATGGGTGATGATGCTGGTTTGCACCCCAACATCCCAGTGTCTGAAAGAAGATCCAAAACAGAAAAAAATACCCACCAACAAACATATTGCCCCACCGATAAACATACCCAAACAACAACTCCATATTGCACCGGCTGCCTCCTCAAACATATTGCCCCACTGACAAACATACCCAAACAGTAATTCCAAATTGCACCGACTGACCTGACAATGTAGTAGCGGGAGAGGGTCCCCAAATATCAGAGTGTATTAGGTCAAATGGCTTAGGTGACTGGTGCATGCGAGGAATATAACTGGTCCTAACATGTTTCGATAGGGAACATATAACACAGTCAAGTTTACCACCAACACAAGTATTGCTCAAAAGCAGGAAACAACATACATAAATATTTAAAATTTGTCTGTCCAAAATGGTCATGACACAACTGAACAGTTTGTGACAAAAAATCATAACGACAACTACTAGGTAAAATACTAGCATGCAAGCTAGGAACAGAAAAAGACAAAGCAGGTGCAGGTGATGTAGGTGGAGGAATTGGTGAAACTGGAGGTGGATTGCCAAGATAATACGGTCCATCTTTCTGATGTCCCCTGATAATAATCTTCCTGGTACTCGAGTCCTGCAAATAACACGAATTAGATAAGAATACAATCGCATAGTAAAAATTTTTGGCTAACTGATGTACAGATAATAGATTCATGGCCAACTTTGGCGCATGAAAAATCGAATGTAATGTAAGGCCATCTGGGAGGCGGACTGTACCCCTACTAACAGGGGCATGTGTCCCATCTACTAATTGAACCTGTGTATGTAACTGCTCGTCAAAAGTGGTGAAGTGATGGGCCTCACCTGTCATGTGACCATTCGCACCCGAGTCCAACATCCAAAGGGGAGATGAACTGGCACAAGCGTGAAAGACACGAGGTATACCTGTAGTGGTGACAGCAGTAGTAGTCAGACTCTGAGAAGTCAGAGTAGACATAAGTATATCTAATCGGGAAGTGATAGCATCCATATCACTCTGCCAAGGTAGAGTAGTAGTAGTAGGAGTAGCGGTAGTGGGTGGTGATACCTCAGCAATAGCAACAGTACGGTTGCGAGGAGGCGGCTTAGGCTCTGGATGGAGCTTCCAGCAAGTAGTCCTGAGATGTCTTGGTCGGCCACAATAATCATATTGACGGGAATCCCCCTGTCTGCGCTGATCTGGGGCACCCTGACGGCGCTGATCCGAACGCTGCCCACCCCTGACTGAGGATCCTGAACGAGAACCTGCAACAACTGCAAGGGCCATCTGGTCAGCCGAATGAGTCAAAGCCGCAACTGGAAGTGATGCAATACGGACTCGACGCTCATACTGCTCAATCATCCCATACACCTCATAAAAAGAAGGAAGTGTGAACATCGACAAGATCTGAGAACGAGGTCCCTCAAACTCATCACGAAACCCCATAAAGAACTTGTGAATCCTATCTTCCTGCTCTTGAGTATGCAAGATGCTGCTCCTTCGGGCTCTATTTCGGAATAGCATCAAGAGGACGTAGAGTCTCATACTCAAGCCAGCGCTGGGTCAAATAGCCATAATAATCCTGAACGGTCATATCTCCCTGTCGAGCATATAAGAGCTCCTGAGAAAGCTCATAAACACGAACTCCCCATCCTGACTGAGAATACATCTCTGATAATGTGCTCCATAGCTTCGGAACAGAACTATGAAACTGGTAGATCTTGCAAACAGATGGCTCCATTGAGCCATATAACCATCCAAGAATGGCACAGTTCTCAGAAAATCACGCAGAATATCCAGGGTCAGCATCAGCTGGCTTTGGGTGAGATCCCGTCAGCCAACCAAGCTTCCCTAAACGACCTAAGAAAAGTTGGAATGAGCGAGACCACCCAGCAAAGTTACGACCATTCAACAACTGCGCCGTAACTTTCTGAGAGATCATGCCCGGTAGTACTGGTAATGCAACTGTGCTAGTAGGTACTGTACACTGGTCAAACATAAAAGTGAAAGTACCCATAGATGTCTCAACGGTAGAGGTGTCAACAATAGGGTTCTCAAGTCTCTCAGTAGTAGCCATATCAACAACAATACTAGGGCACCTGTGACAGAAAAACAACTCTAAGATAAATAGAGGAATAAAATAAGGGAGAACAATATACCTTCAGTCGAACAGTAGCGACAAATAAAGAAGGTCCAAAAAGCTCCCAAATAATCAGGTCACGCTGCCCAGAAATCTAAAATATATAAATAAGTGATCTACTGTATCAAGGACAGATCAACAGAAAAGAGGATTCAACCCCTCTTAAAAGGGCGGAAAAAGAGGGTAGTGGCGCAAAGATATGGCAACACTACAACAAAGAATGTGGAGCACAAAGGTAAAACACGAAGCTGCGAGAAAGAGCGCGATTCGACAGTGGGCTGGTTTGCTGGCCGTATGTTTGGTTTGCTCGTTTGTTGTGGGTTTGGGTTGGGCAGTGGGTTGGTTGGGCTTTGGGTGCAGGGTGTGTTATGTTTGCGGTGGGGCAATATGTTTGAGAAGGCAGCTGGTGCAATTTGGAATTGCTGTTTGGGTATGTTTATCGGTGGGGCAATATGTTTGAGGAGGCAGCCGGTGCAATATAGAGTTGCTGTTTGGGTATGTTTGTCGGTGGGGCAATATGTTTGTTGGTGGGTATTTTTTTCTGATTTGGTGAGGAGTTCTTTGCTGGTTTGTTAAGCAGTCGGTGCAATGGGTTATCGAAGGCTGTCGGTGATGGTGAGGAGTTCTTTGCTGGTTTGTTGGGCAGTCGGTGCAGTAGGGTGAGGCTGTCAGTGATGGGCTGGGTTTAGGATTTTCGGTGGCAGGCTGCTGGTCTGAGTTCGCTGGAGTGAATCTGTGCCGACTGACTGATTTGGTTGGTCTGGGCAGTCGTGTGTTAGGGTTAGAGTTGGTGGCTCTGATACCAACTAGAAATATTTGTGAGTGAGTGAGATACAAATTAAGTGTAGAGCCCCCGTATATATAGTCAATGAGAGTTACAATAAGGACAAAGAGGTAAAAAAAAAAAAACTTAATAAAACCCTAATAAACTAGGCTGCTGCTATATCTCTAACAGTGTGCTTAGGCTCTAGTTTTGATCCAGTTCAATTCTCAAGTGTTCCAAACATTAGTGTGTGCTAGGAAACATGTCAGATAACATAATTTAACTATGATTTAAATTTAATCCGTGGAATTGGATCACATGCAAGATCATATTCTAATATTCAACAATTCTAGTTCTCAATATGTAATTCAATTATGCATGATAGATAGGCTCAAAAACATGCTTTGCAAACGATATACAACAAAGAATAAGCAACACACGATACATTGTGGTTTGGCCAACCCCTTAGCCTACATCCACTCTTCCACCACCTAGGTGGGAGTCACTCCACCAAATGGGATTGTAAGCCAATCTTGTGGATTACAAAGGATCAATCCACTAGTCCACCTAAAACAGCCATTGCAAGGCACCACTAAAGGATGTGGTGAAGGTTTTCGTAAGATCCCCTACAACCTAACTCGGAAATTATTTTATGTAGGATTTGTGAAGGTGTGCTACAGTCCTATGTGGCATGTAAGAATGTCCTCAATGATCACACTTACCATTACAAGCTTTGGCCAAGGATGTGCTCTTCACAGTGAAAGCCAGGCTCGATTTGGGTGGAAGGGAAAAATAGTCATTTTTCCCTCCTTTCTACTTTTTCTTCAGTGTGGTGGATGAAATCCATCAAATTTCATCTACTAAGATAAAAGGGTATTCATAAGCTGAACTTCAATGAATAGCTTAACAGCTAGTTTTTGAACTGCCAAACAACCTAACCTAGAACTACTATCTCTATCATCCTTGAAAGTGTTCTACGGCCCTGTGTGGAATGCAAGAGTGTCCCTAATACACAATTAAGGGAAGAGGATCACATCCACAGTGAGAAGCTTTGACCAAGGATTTGCTCTTCACAGTGAACCATAAGCTCTCTTTTTGGGAGGAGGGACATAATGGTCTTTTTGCCCTCTCTCTCTCCTAGGTCTTCACTGTGGTGCATGAAGAATGGACCCCAATATCCATCAAACTTCATCTTTTAAGATGAAGAGGTATATATAGAGTGAAGTTCAATGGTTAGTTCAACAGCTAATTTTCCCTCTGTCCAAAAGTCAGCAAAAGGCCACCAGCTTCAAGCACAGGCCAGTCCAGACCTAGGAAAGTGTGTCTAACCTACAAAGGTGATCACTTAGATTTAGACACTACTCCCTTTGAGGTTGAAGTCTTCCAAAAATTCTGAAGTTTGGCTCACGTACTTTGATCTGTGCTGTTGCAAGGAAGTTTCCAAGTTTGAGGCTTGCATCCATAACTCTTCCGAATCATGCTTTCGTCACAAATTGCAATACAACATAAAATTATAGTACAAGTCAGGAAATTGTTAATCTGTCCTAGAACTAATAATCCTTTTTGGCAATTTTCATGACAAAACTTAGATATGCAATGAGTATATGAATGGCCTACTCTACTACATAGACACCTCTACCACTGTGATGTCATCAGGTTCAAGCTGCGCGAGACTGCCCCCCCTAAAGCAATACCTTTCTGCCCTTTTTTGTCAAGAATTGCTAAATACCATTGTTTGTTATTTTTGTTTTATTTTTAACCTAAATACCATTTTATTTTATTTTTTATTGTTTGCTATTTTTTTTTTTTTTTGAATGGCATAAGTTTGTTATTGTCTTTATCTACTATTGTAGATTTAAAGCCTGGAGAGAAAGCCTTAGATTGGCCAACAAGAAAACGTATAGCTTTTGGTGCAGCCCATGGCCTGGAGTACCTGCATGATCATTGCAACCCTAAAATCATACACCGTGATCTAAAAGCTGCGAATATCCTCCTAGATGATGATTTTGAAGCTGTTCTTGGAGATTTTGGGCTAGCAAAAGTGGTTGATACAAAATTAACACATATTACAACACAGGTCCGTGGAACTATGGGGCACATTGCCCCTGAATATCTATCAACTGGAAAATCATCAGAAAAGACAGATGTGTTTGGATATGGTGTAACTCTTCTGGAACTAGTTACTGGTCAGCGTGCAATAGACTTCGCTAGGCTGGAAGAAGAGGAAGACGTTCTACTGCTTGATCATGTAAGTTCTTATTGAGCTAGCCCAATGCTTGATTCAAACATTTTGTTTGTTGTGCTGTTTTTTCATTCATTTTTTTTTTGTCACACAAGTTCTTATTGTTGTAGCCCAATGCCGGATACAAACATTATGTTTAAGAAAAACTATTTTTCTTATCTTTTTTAACCCATCAAGATGTTTTCTAGCCTTGAGAACAGTCACCAATTCTCTTATGCACAGGCAGTCCTCTCGTCCTAAATCTCCTGGGCACCGGGCGTTGTTATTTTTTTTCTGGGTGGCAGAAACAAGCAAGGAACCTAAGTTCAATAATGGTTTCTATAACGGATGCAGGTGCGTGGGTGACCAACCTTATTTGTGGGGCCCAAGTTTTTTATGATGGACGTGACTCAGTTTTCTCATTATAAAGAGCCACTTTGTTCTCTACTCATCCTTATCCTAATGCTTCCCTTCTTGCTCAAACAAAACTCCCAAGGTCATTGCACATTTCTCTTACAATCAACCTCACTGCACATATTTCTCCCTCCCTCTCTCCCTCCCCTTCTCTCTCTTCCCATCCCCTCCCTCCATCCCTCCCTCTTTTCTATCTTGCGAATTCCTTTGCATTCTCTAGAAAACTTAGTTTTTGTGGAAAATTAGAGTACTAATCCGTATATTTCATTGCCAACGGTAAACTCCTTAAATTTACAGTTGAAACAAATTCTTGTGTAGTAGGATACGGGGAGAGAATTAGAGGCTGAGGTGAGCAACATGGAAGGAGGGAGAACGGGTCAGTACTTTCCACAAAAGAAATTCAGGGTGGCTTTCTATTGATCTGCTAAAAAATAACACCCAGTTTACTTCACATGAATGAGGGAGGGTCTGTTATTGATTTCTTCTGGGTATTAATTAGTGTAATTACACATTATGGCACATGTTTTCGGCTGCGTATTACTTATTATGATTACACATTCTTGCACGTGTTTTGGTGGGCTGTTTTGTTTTTCTGTTGGTCAGAGATGTCAAGGCATGCTTGTTGGATGTAATGTCTTTTGTATGCCAAGTAACTGAAATTGTTTACATATGAATCATTCAGATCAAGAAACTGCTGAGAGAAAAAAGGCTCGAGGACATCGTAGATAAAAACTTAATAACTTATGATCCCAAAGAGGTCGAGACAATCATTCAGGTTGCATTGCTCTGCACCCAAAGTTCACAGGAAGATCGTCCAAAGATGGCAGAAATTGTAAGCATGCTGCAAGGGGTGGGTTTGTCGGAGAGATGGGCCGAGTGGGAGCAGCTTGAAGAAGTAAGAAATCAAGAATTTTCCCTCATGTCTCACCAATTTGCTTGGGCCGAAGAATCCACACATGACCAACAAGCTATTCAGTTGTCAGAAGCAAGATAGTGAGTTTCCAATGTAATTAATGTAAAAGATAAATTGCATACCGGGGGATTACTCTAATTTTAGAGATCTGTTTCTATTTGACGTAATAATAGTAGTAGCTTATTAACAAATTTTACACGGTATTGTATCTATCCGTTTCACCACCAGCTTTCTTATTTTCAGAGTGTAGGAAGGTGATGGTTTACGCTTCTAACTTGTTCCTTTCCCTAATCATAAATCTGGTCTTGGAGGGAAAAAAAAAAAGAACTTTAAACTATTTCTTGTATCTTCATTCTGTATATCTTTTCCAATTGTGCGTGCACGGATTTCGATGTTAGAGATAAGAGTGAAAAGAAGAATTGATAAAGAAATTATGGGTCTACGTCTAATATTGTCATAAAAGCACAGTAGTATAGGAATCCCCAAAGTGATAAGAGACGATATTTCTTGAGAATGTATAACTTTTAATAGGTTATGTACACCACTTAGCACTCTTAATGAGTATGTAAAACCAATCTCTATCGATCATTTAATAACAAGGCTGTGCAAAAATGATTCGAGCCTTATGTATAATAATTGGCATTGTGGTTAAAGGTGCAAGTAACTGAACATGCCAAAAAAGTAGCACACCAGTTTATTTTCCTCTCGATGACATATTTTCTCAACAAAGTAGTGGAAATTGATATTCACTTGAAACTACTATGGCCATTTGTCGTCATTCTTAATTACCAAAATATAACATATCAACATATAATTTTTTCTTTTTTTGTTACCGGGCGTTCAGACTTATACCAACTATTTCTTCGAACTCAACAACTGATTATCATGAATCAACATATAATTTTGAACGAAGTATCGGAATGTTAATGCATATGTCTATCATACAACGATTGAGTTGTTTGAAATTGAAAATGGAGGAACACAAAAGGAAACTTATGAGACACACACCTTTATTCACATTGGAGATGGAGTAATCCCTATTTTAATCTACCGGTCATGCTAATTCATAGTTATGAAATATCATCTTTTAAAATACATCCATAGTAGAAGTGTATACTCTAAAAAATAAACCCCTTTATCTTTGCTACTCTACAAATTCCTCGTAACGATCAAATATATCATTATCTCTTGCCATCTTTCAGCCACAATGCAACCCAAAACACCCGGTCCAACATTGAACAAATAATTTCCTCCAACCAAACCAGAAGGTGAACCCTCCAAATCTTCATTTGGTAAACCTTCAGCATCTAGTTCATCAACCAAGGAGTGCAAAAACAAAATATGAAAGAGAAAAATACTTACACAAGAAATACGTACCGGATAAAAAAGTGAGCACAATACCATCGATGATAAGCGTCCTTCTGCCCTCACAAGATGCACAAGAAGGTGAATTCATCAAGGTACTTTAGAACAAGGGCGGAGCCAGAATTTTTGTTTATCCAGGGCTAAGTTAAACATTCATATGACTAACAAAATACAAATATTTTTTAATATATTATGTGGCCCAAAAATTTTATTTTTAATGTTGGCCCAAAAATTTTGCTTTTTAATTGTAGCCCAAAAATTTTGTTTTTTAATGTTGGGCCAAAAATTTTATTTTTTTAATGTTGGATCAAAAGTTTTTGTACTAGGTTTGGGTAGATAATATTGAGCTCAAATTTTTTTGTTTTAAATGGGTTAAATTTTTTAATTTTTTTGGATAAATAATGTGGACTTAATATAAATGAGGGGGACATACATAATATATTATATAAATATATAATACATATACCCTACTAATAATTTTTTTTTTGAGGGGGCCCTTGTGGTCGAACTGTCCTTCCGTCCCAACGTAATCCTTTCTCTGTTCCAATCAAAATAGGAATAGAAAACTCTGAAAAACTCTTTCTTTCCATGATTATTGGAGCTTCAGCCTTAAAAATTTTGAAAAATTGGACTAATGATTAGTAATTTAATGAGCTGATAATGGCCTGAATTTTTTTTTTTTTTAACTCTGAGCCCACCACAACCTACTAATGAATCCCTCCCTGCTTCAGAACGAAATCGGCTTGGTCCCCACTCCCACTCATTAGATTGAAAGAGATCTCGTTACTTGACTGACCAACCAGCTTTGACTCAGGCCTAAACCCAAAGTGACTGAATTAGCAAGCCGTTTTGCGGTTATGACTGATTTGCCTTCTGCGGTTGTAAATGAAGAAAGCTGAATGTGGCTATAAAACTGATTCTCTCCGAGTTCCCAATTGCCCATTTCAAGTGAACATCTTTTTGGCCGGACTTCTTATATATGATATCGCCTTGAGAATGAAAGAAACATAGAAAAGTCACTTTTGATAGAAGTTTAAATGTTCAATTAAATTAATAAATTTAAAAGTGACTTTCTGTATACCTACCAGTCATTTACAACAAAATTATATTAATGAAAATTAAAAGTTATGTAATGTGTTAAGAAATATAGGATTATTTTATTTATTAAGGATATAATAGTTTTTTATTTTCCCTACCTTGTTTAGCTTATATATAGTCTCTTTGCATCTTTTACTTTCCCTATCTTGTTTAGCTTATAGATAGTCTCTTTGTATCTTTTACTTTCTCTACCTTGTTTAGCTTATATATAGTCTCTTTGTATTTAGATTAAATTATTCCCTTGTATTCAATTAAAATTATGTAGTATTAATAAAACCCTAGTCTCCTCTCTTTCTTATCTCTTGTATGTCTTTAGATTGTTCAACATGGTATCAGAGCAAAGTTTAATGAGACAAGGGTTAATCTCAAACACAGTTTATGCGGATCCAACTTTTTGAAGAAGGTATTTTTTTTGTTTAAGCAATCTGGTATTTATTCCGTTTTTGGCAATCTGGTATTTGTTCTGTTTTTTTTTGGCAATCTGATATTTGTTTTGTTTTTGCAATCTGGTATTGGTTCCCTTTTTGCAATCTGGTTTTCTTTGGTTGTTGATTATGGCTACTGCAAGAGACGATTCGCTTCAGTCTGTGAGTGAGAAGTTGGATGGAAAGAATTATTCGTATTGGAGTTATGTGATGAGAAATTTTCTTAAGGGTAAAAAGCTATGGGGATATGTTAGTGGAACTTCTGTGAAACCTAAGAATACTGATGCAGGTTATTCTGATTTGATAGATGTCTGGGAAGTGGACAATGCAAAAATTATTACTTGGATCAACAATTCTGTTGAGCATTCTATAGGTACGCAGTTGGCAAAGTATGAGACAGCAAAGGAGGTTTGGGATCATCTGCAAAGGTTATTCACTCAATCAAATTTTGCAAAGCAGTATCAATTGGAGCATGACATACGAGCTCTTCAACAGAAGAATATGAGTATTTAGGAATTTTATTCTGCTATGACAGATCTTTGGGATCAATTGACTCTTACAAAATCTGCTGAATTAAAGGCATGTGGTGCCTATATTGCTTGTAGAGAGCAGCAACGGTTGGTACAATTTTTGATGGCACTTCGTAGTGATTTTGAAGGACTTAGAGGTTCAATTTTGCATCGTTCTCCACTTCCTTCTGTTGACTCAGTTGTTAGTGAGTTATTGGTTGAAGAGATACGTCTTAAGTCTTATTATGACAAGGGAATTCTTTCTACTACTGATCCTTCTGTGCTAGCAGTACCTTCTAAACCATTCTCTCATAATCAGAATAAGCCTTACACAAGACCTGCCTTCGACGAGTGCAGTTTCTGTAAGCAGAAAGGTCATTGGAAGGCTCAATGTCCTAAGTTAAGACAGCAGAATCAATCGCAACAGCAATCTCAAGCTTGGAAGTCTGGCAACCAGTCACAATCTAATGCTTCTAGACCACCTCAGGGTTACAAACCACCACAGTCTAATACTGCAGCAATAGTTTCATCAGATCCTTTCATCGATTCTAGTACCTTGGCTGAGCAATTTCAGAAGTTTCTCTCTTTACAGCCACAAGCTATGTCTGCTTCTTCTTCAGGAGGTCAGTTGCCTCATAGTTCTCCAAGTATGTCACATTCGTATGGGTCTTGGATTCTGGTGCCTCACATCATATGTCTCCAGATTCTTCATCTTTTGCTTTTGTATCTCCTTCATCTTCTATTCCTGTTATGACTGCTGATGACACTCCTATGCCTTTAACAGGCGTTGGTTCTGTTGTCACACCTCACTTGTCTCTCCCTAATGTTTATCATATTCCAAAACTCACATTAAATCTTGCTTCTGTTGGTCAGTTATGTGATTCTGAAAATTTAGTCACATTTTCCTCTTCTTCTTGTTATGTGCAGGATCTGCAGTCTCAGAAGCTGATTGGGACAGGCCATAGGAAAGGAGGACTACATATTTTGGATGAGTTAAAAGTGTCAGTTACTGCTGCTGCTACTAGTGTTGATTTATCTTCTTTTCGTTTGAGTCTTTCTTCTTCTAGCTTTTATTTATAGCATTCTTGTTTAGGTCATGTTTCTTCTTCTCGTTTGAGATTTTGGCCTCCATAGGGGCTTTAGAAAATTTGAAAATTTGTGATATTTCTGATTGTAGTGGATGTAAACTGGCAAAATTTTCAGCTTTACCTTTTAATCGAAGTATTTCTGTTTCTTCTTTATTTGATTTGATTCATTCTGATATATGGGGACCTTCTCATGTTACCACAAAAGGAGGGTCTCGATATTATGTTTCTTTTATTGATGATTATACTCGTTATTGTTGGATTTATTTAATGAAACATCGTTCTAAATTCTTTGAGATATATACAGCCTTTCGAGCTCTTGTCAAAACTCAACATTCTGCTATTATCAAATATTTTAGGTGTGATTTGGGTGGGGAATACACTTCTAATAAATTTGTTGAGTTACTTGCCTTAGATGAAACTATTCACCAAACTTCGTGTACAGATACTCCTGAGCAAAATGGTGTTGCTGAAAGAAAACATAGGCACATTGTTAAAACTGCTCGTTCTCTCTTGTTGTCTTCTTCTGTTCGTAGTGAGTTTTGGGGTGAAGCTGTTCTTACTGCTGTAGGTTTGATTAATACAATTCCATCTTCTCATATTTCAGGTGTTTCTCCTTTCGAAAAGTTATATGGGTATGCCCCTGATTATTCTTCATTTAGAGTTTTTGGTTGTACTTGTTTTGTTCGTCATCCTCATATTGAACGCAACAAGCTATTCTCTCGATCTATTATTTGTGTCTTTCTTGGATATGGTGAAGGTAAAAAGGGGTATCGTTGTTTTGATCCAATAACTCAAAAACTTTATGTGTCTCGTCATGTTGTTTTT